TTGGATTCTTGAAACCATTACTTGTTAGAGCTAGACTAAACCCATCGGTTCGTTTCTTATTAGCATCCATCTTCTCATTGGCAATATCAACAAGGAAGTTCACATACTCAGGTGAAACCATAAGCTTCTCTGTATCACCTAAAGGCACTTCCATTCGAATCGAGCATCGTATAGCAATAATCACCCTTTTGCCATCGCCACAAGATGTGATTCCCGATTCTCTAAACCCAGCAGAGATAGCTATCGCCACAAGAGACTGAGCCCAACCCAAATCCTTACATTCCACTGCAATGATCAATGGCTCGAATCGGAAGACTAATTCGCTGGGCTGGTCAGATGGGTCAAGCTGAGTTGACTTCGAAGGGAAAAGGAGAGAAATTACCGATTTTGGATCTGCTGGGTCGTGAGAGATGTATAGCCATGAGCCACCTCGAGCTTTCTTCTTCGTTGAAACGTTGGATTGTGGCTTGGGCTGAGAAAGGATAGAGATTCGACCTGAGCAGGAGCTTGTGGTGAAGTAGGATGGGTGGTGATTGATGGTTTCGAGGAGAGAGATGATGGGTTCGTCGAGATAACCTTTCGGAGATTTGTCAGTCACCGATGAACGAATTGATGCTAAAGTCGCAGCTTTTCTCTTCTCGAATTCCATCTTCTTCACTGTGCTGATTTCAAAAACCCTAATTAAGATTTCGTAAACCCCTTTTTGGTGGCGCAATATGATAATATTGATACGACAGCGTTTTGCTCTGTAAGAAGACAGATAATTTGTTCTTCGTTAATTGTTTTGATTTTTTTTACTAGTTACTCTACTTTTGAGTAAAAAGAACAAAATGGGATTGAAATCATATTTAATTCCATTTTGCATTTTAAAATAAAAATCTGAGTTATATATTGGAGATGTTCTAATCTATTCCAGAAAAAAAAATATTTAACATTTTAAATTCAAACAACGATGATTGAAAATAGTTTACGTATAGTATCATAATGGATCTTTGTTTCACTTCGTTAACTCAAGCTTTTGAATGGTGACGAGATCTGATATGCGCAGTAAAAACACAAATATACATATATGTAAATATAGAATTTTATTATTGGTAAGTGCGAGATGGTGCACGTATACTCATCCATTTGAAGCCTAAACGTTA